TTTTTTTTTTTTTGCGGGGGGGGGGGGGGGGGGGGGGGGGGGGGCGCCCGGTATTTTTGATAATAGCGGTCATCAGCGGCTTCTGAGCCGCTGATGACAGCTATTAATTTAAAGGGGACAGTCTGCTGAACAGTTATACTATAAGCTGATGGTCCATCAGCTTATAGTAGAACTGTAAATGCCAGGTCCGTATGGCATACTGACCTGGCCAGCTGGAAGCACTTTTGTAGGTCCGTATGCCATACGTCCTTGGCAGCGAAAGGGTTAAAGTGACATTAAATGATTTTTTTCCCCTCTCCCCAATGTTAGTGTAAGGACTTACCTTGAATGATGCCTCTTTATCCGATCATCTTCTTCCTTACTGTTGTTTTCAGCTGTCCCTCCAGCGCCGGTGCGGGTCTCTGATCTAGCGCTGACTCCTCTGTCCTCCTCTGATATCCCAGGAAGTCTGTTCGGGTGCACGCTGCTCCATATACAGTACTTACCTTGTGTCTCTCCTCATCTCCCGGCCGAACATCTGAACTGTGCATGTGCCCGCCCCAAGATCCGTTGCGATCCCGATACATTCTCAGATGTTCGTAAGGGAGCGCGCGGCGAAGACACAGGCAAGTTTAAACCTGCTTCAAAAGGTTTTTGTTTTCTCTAAATTTTTAGCATATATCTACTGCTTGCTAGCAGTAGATATATGCAAAAACACGTGAGAGTTTATTAACCTTTTAACACAAGATTAAGCATTTTTCAAATTGATATAGCACCTTTGCATACAGTTTCTGACAATACATCCAATGATACATCCCTAATACTTACTAGTGCTGGTGAGAATAGTTAATAAGGTGTTTTGGTTCAGACCAATAGTGAAAACATAAGCAATCTTGCTGTGAGCTACCATGTCCTAGAAGCAAGGACCATTACCCTAAAGCCCATTTCCTCCTTTGCGGATGTATTTAAAAAAAAACATATGCCAGCAATGTACACCAAGTGTACATGAAGAAGGCATATGCAGCTAAAGTATATGAAAACTGAAACTTACGTTTTTTTTGTTCGCTTTCCTCTTCATCACCTCATGAAATGGCTGCCTCTGTGTTTTGCAAAAAAATGTTTGTCTATTGTAACAGAGCTTTCTAACCTGCCCCCCGACCCGGGTTTCAGATATAGTTTCCTGTGAAGAAAATTTTTAATTTCCAGGATTCAGGCCTAATAAAAAGCTCATAAAAAACAAAGAAAGACTGCAATATGAGTCATGAAAATGTGCACATGTATACATCATCACTTCACCTCTACATTACCACAATAAACGCTGATCACTTACAAAGGTGAAAATGGACTTGTACCAAGTCTTTTGCTCAGACTGAGCTTCAAGATGACAGGCTGTGGGTTCTTAGGGGGACTGCAATAAAGTGTCATAATAAACTCTAAACGGTGCAAAAAATCCTTTAATATGATGATAATTATTAGGGATGCACCGATATATCGGCCGCCGAAACATATCGGCCGAAAATTGCACTTTTGGCATAATGCCGAAAGAGCCATGTTTCGGCCGATACTTCGGGCATTCGGGATTTCCCGGGATTTTCGGCGCATCCCTGGTTTCTTTTCTCCCCGCTGGCCGCTGTTCCAGCGGGGAGAAAAGAAAGTGACAGCCGGCCGAGCGCTGCGGTGGAGAGCGCTGTAAGCAGCCGGCGTCTCTCCTCCACACCGCTCAGCAGCCTATCACAGTCCGGCAGAGCGGTGTGGGGGCGGAGACAGCGCTGTCACAGGAGGCTGGGCTTCCCTCTCTACACCGCTTGATCAGCCTCCTTTGACAGCGTGTCAGAGAGAAAAGCAATGTACACACACTCAGTGATCAGTGATCGCTGAGTGTGTGTACATAATTGAGAATATGGTATGTTAACTATATCCTCAATTATGAATGAATGGGAGTGATCTGCATCACCCCCATTCATTCATAATTGTGGTTATAGTAAACAAACAATATTCTCAAGTTATCAATGAACAGGAACTCTCATAGAGGATTCCTGGTCATTGATAAGAGGGGACACAGAAAAAGATATTGTGTTCTCAATCTCTTTCTATTTTAAAAGGGAAATATCAGGGGTCTGTTTAGACCCCTAATATTTCCCCGAAGCCCCTAAAAGTAAAGTATTAAATAAAAAAATTATCTATTGGGTTAGTTATGCCACTTTCATGATAACAAACAGCAAAGTATTTATGAGTAGTGCATATTGGTTAATATTGATGTGCTAAAAGCTGAATCATTATCTTAGCTATACAAACACAATATAAACGCTTTGATAGGTGAAACAATTTATCTAATGTAAAGTTTTGTTAAGGAAAAAACATTTTCCATCCAGATCAATGATCTTTTTGCAAGAAACTTTACTGTATTTTCTCCTCAGTATACACTCAGGAGGGAAACGGGTTTGACGCCCATGATAAAACACAGAGTTCATCACAAAATATAGCCAAGTGGTTGACGGAACCCGGGATACAAATAAGACTTAGTCTACTTAATGCAAATAAAGCTTTGGGACCGGATTTTCTGCACCCCAAGATACTTAAGGAACTAAGATCGGTTATAACTAGACCATTATTCCTCATTTTTAAGGACTCTCTAATGACTGGTAGAGTACCATGTGATTGGCGGAGGGCTACGGTAGTTCCAATATTTAAAAAGGGGGCAAGATGCCAACCTGGGAATTACAGACCAGTTAGTCTTACATCTGTAGTTTGTAAACTGTTAGAAGGAATAATTAAGGACTACTTGGTAGAATTTGTTCAGGATAATGGTATAGTTAATGACAACCAGCATGGGTTTAGGAAAGACCGTTCCTGTCAGACTAACCTACTGACTTTTTACGAGGGGGTAAGTAGAGATCTGGATGGAGGGAGGTCTGTGGATGTGGTATATCTGGATTTCTCAAAGGCTTTTGATACGGTACCACACAAACGCCTACTATACAAGCTGAGAGCTATGGGCATAGATGGAAGGGTGTGTACATGGATAGAGAACTGGCTAAAGGAACGGGTACAGAGAGTATCAATAAATGATCAGTTTCGCGGTTAAGGTCTGGAACTTGCTGCCTCAAGCAGTGATTTCCGCATTTCCGCAAATAGTCTGGAATCATTCAAGAAGCTTTTGGACGATTTCCTGAGAGACCGTAATGTACAAGGGTGCAGGTACTCTTAAGAATGAGAACACTCAGGGACCTATACACACACACACACACACACACACACAATAGGTTGGACTTATGTCTTTATTCAACCTCAAATACTATGTAACTATGTATATACAGGAAAGTGGGATACAGTATATTTAATACCATTATATTACAAAGCATCTTTTGTAGCAATTATGTATGGTATATAAATTGTTGCCGCAACTGAAGTTTTCCTTTAATATTGCACTCCTAAATGTTGCTTTCCTTGTTGTCAGTTTGACAAGCGATGAACTATACAATGAAACAATAACTTGCCTTAATTGTGTATTTCTGCTGTGAAGTCAGTGATGCAGAAAACAGAAAACCAGAACACAGTGAAAGCCAGGGTTTATCCTCTGATGTTGTCAGTCCTCAAGAGCGCACAGAACAGCCTCAAAACCAGATCCTATCTGTTCATTTTACAGCTTTAGGTATTATGCTATATTTATTATTAGATATTTTATAGTGAAGAAATTCTAAAGTTTCTGAATATGCAGAATTATTATCTCTAAGTCATAGTTACATTTAAGAAATGACATGTGATTACAATTATGTATACAATTACAACTACATAATACAATTAAACACACCACACATCTACACCACACACCACACCTCTAAAGTAAATGAGATAATTGACGTTTGTTGACCATTGGTGGGCATTCAATTGTTCTGGGTTTCCTGCCATTTGGCAAAAGGGCAAACAGTTGGTAGTGTTTTTCTAAGAGATTACTATGCTTAAAATAAAACAATGTGACAAATATCACTTTACACTATATCAACTTCATTATTAACCAGTTGACATCCGCGGTGTTAAACCCCCTTCCCATCCAGGCCATTTTTCAGTATTCAGCGCTGCGGTACTTTAACTGACATTTATTCCGTCATGCAGCGCTGTACTGAAATGAATTTTATACCCTTTTTTGGGGACAGATAGAGCTTTCTTTTGGTATTCTGCCCGTGCGTGCCCGCTAGGGGGCGCGCGCGAGCAGAAAAAAATTGCCGTCTGGAGACGGCAACCCGCAGATGCTGCAGTGCCGTCCGTCCGTTTTTTTACTACGGGCGGACGGCAAGAGGTTAAACATCTTTCCCTTCTAAAAATCTAATAACACTAAAGTATATTCATTCTAGCTTCCTCATCAACTCCTCCCATGCTGGCCTCCAGGACTTGTCCAGAGTCTCTATCATTTTCTGGATCTGCCTACCTCAACTTGCCTGGCTATCTCCTACTCATCCTAACCACTGAACTATCACTTTCTCAAACAATTCATCCCCACACAGCTACCTCATGTATCACTTGCCCCTTTCTTTTAGATTGTAAGCTATTACAGACAGGGCCCTCTTTAACCATCTTGCCTGGAATGGTATTGTAACTGTAATGCCTTCCTTATATTATATTGAGCTGCTCAAACAGTTGGCACTATATAAATCATGTATAATAATACATGAATATAATCTTGAAAACTTGGACAAAGACAAAAAAATGATGTTACTAAACAGACTCTGAAACCCTGTAAAGCACTCACAAATGCAACCTTTGGTAAAGAAATTCAAGAATATAACACTGATTTCATGCCAGTAGCCACAGGTTGTCAGGGACCAGTTGACGTGGCCTTTAAAGTTGAAGTAGCAGTACTCTTACTGAGACAAAAACATTTTGCAGATGTTTTACTTTTAAATGGTTTGAATAATGCTTTCATTTTTTAAAGGCATGTGTAGGGGGGTGCATATATTTACTTAGTTTATGATGGCCAGGACTAGACTTAGACATAGGTTCTATTCATACCGTTGCACATGTTAAAGCACATTTGTTTTTGGCACATTGTGGAATCAATCTGCTTTGAATGGGCCCTTACTAAGTCTCAAAACACAAAAATGTACTTGCACTACTTTTTGGCAATACATTTTACCACACCACACAGTGCATTTACATTTGTGTGTACTGGTTGGCTGAAGAGCAGGTAGGTTGTTTTACACTGTATATGTGTGTTGGGGTGCCATTCAATGCACATATACTGCATATTGGGTTGCATGCATATTAACATACATACACAAATGCACATACATTGGTTGATGTTGACAAAAGTAAATGTTGACACCTATGCTATTGCCAGCTTTGTATTGCAGGCAGGGAATTTATGAAACTCACTTTAAAAAACAATTTATGAAAATTGTGCCATTTAAGCAATATTGAATTCAATCTTCTACATTATTTTGGGGTATGATGGAAACAAAAGTTCCTGCCAAAGGGCACACAGTGCATTGAAGATGAATAAAATAATGGTTGTTTCCAATGGTTCCAATGGTTGTTTGCTTTATTAAATTACTTTTCCTGTTTGATATACTGAAAGCATGTGTGTTGTTTTCTGCAAACAGAGAGCCAGTGTCAAGCTTATCAAGTCCTTCAAGCAGCAGCAGTGCCCATTCTAAACAAACTCACTGGCCTTGGTGTCTCTGCATGTGCTGAGTGGAACTTTGCTTCAGTCAGCTTTGACTCTACTCGCTTCCTGTTATGCCAGCAAGAAAAAACTGTCACCAACAAATGTAAAATAGGTATGTTATTTACAATTATTAGTATAAGCAAATAAATTAAAATCTGTGTCCTGGCAAACATTTTTCCAAATAAAGTTTTATTGAGTTACAAATATAGTTACAAATATAAAAGACGTCTTCACATATATTTATACAAATACACAAGTATTTGGGGTAAGTGCCAAGAGTACAAAATTGTAGAATACTTGTGACAGAGACAGAAGAAAGAGCGAATGTTATTTATAGCGTCTGAACACAGGGCACTGGCGTAAAGCTTCCCTCTACTCTGGTATCCTGGCAAACATTTTTAAAACATTTTTGAATTGAATGGAGAGATTTTCTCTCACTAAAGCTAGCCACATACCTTTTATATTTCCCACGGGACTAAACAAGAGAAATCATTTGATTCTCCCATCCACATTAAACAGTGTGAATGAAAAAATCTTCCCTGCTGGCTATTGTAATGAGCAGCTAGTGGAACACGCAGTTGCTGAATACTCAAACAGTGACTGTATCTGCTTGGATGCAATCACCGTTTGGACGACAGTTTTCCACCCGGCTCCTGCAAAGAAAATTGGTTAAAAAATTTACTTTTGTTGAGTCGGGTGGTACCAACAGAGCCTCACACAGCTCAAAAAAGCCAGTTCAAAAGGAATTTGACAACATTGGAATTAGGACTGCACCGATACCATTTTCTTCAGTATCGAAACCGGCATCCCAGCATCTTATTGGCTGGGAAGCCAGGTGGTGGGTCATGGCCCGCCGCCCGGCATCCTGATTGCCTGGGAAGCCAGTGTTCTGTCCACAGAACACGGCTTCATGCTCCCTCGCTTTACTGGTAGGTAGCCTGGCTTCCTGATTGGTTAGGAAGCCAGGCTTCCTCGCAGTGTTGCTAGGCAGCATGAAGCCAGCTTTCTAGGCAATCAGGAGTCCAGGAGGCAGGTCATGACCCACCGCCCGGCTTCCTGATTGGCCGGGAAGTTGGCTCCATGCTCCCTTCCGGCACTGCCGGAAAGAGATAATCTCCCCCTGACCGGAGGTTCCAGTATTAGGGTAAGTATCGGAGCATTTGGGCGAGTATGAGTACTCGCCCAAATGCCCAGTATCTGTAACAGTGAATCCCTAATTGGAATACACAAGATTTACCATATGAATATTAAATTCATCTTGCGAAAGACAAATTAAAAATCAGAAGATAACATTTCATACATATTAAAAACATTCACATGAAAATGATTCATGACTTATGCCGATACATTTGCACAGTAATTTTGTTTATCAATAGACCCCTGTGTGTTTACTTATGCAACTGTATGCACTCCTTGTTCAAAACTTTTCTTTACAACAATATAGTATTTTTTTTTTCAATTCTTAATTAATAGCACCTTAGAACATATTGTCACTGTATAAATACTGAATAAAATTGTTACAATATTAGATATTAATATTTATTGACATGACTGATTCAGTTTTTCTGATGCTCTATATACATAGCATTAATTCCCTCCTCTTTTCTACATTCACCAGACAAGCTAGTGGAGGTAATGAAACCTTCACGAGTTTATCTTATTTTATGTTTTTTCAGAAATCAGCCTGCTGAGAGATCCTAAAGGACAGCCCCTGCATGGCGCCTATAAAATAGCACAGGAGAGACAGCTGGATTTGTGTAGCTGAGTGCTGCCACCTGTACAACTCAATAGATAGATACAGATGTACGCCTTTGGACAAAGACTGTACTTGTACGTAGGTGTAACTTCGGGTCAGCAAGTATCTTCATGCAGCCGCTTCCTGTCATTGAGTTGTACAGGCAGCTATGTGCACCAGCTGTTCCTCCCGGACACAGATGCACATAGCACATGTGTGCACGCTGTATGGCTATGTACATCCGTGTGAATGAGGCCTAAGGCAAGTCTTCTGTTATTACTACCAACATTTTGTAGAATTTCAGTTCGAATCCTTTGAGAAAATAGGAAACAGGAATAAAAGGGGTCTTCCATTTAGATACAAATGTGCACTCCTGCTTCAATCCCACTTGTAGTATCATGTTATCTTTAAACATTTGTACAACACTAGAACTGCCACCATGCACTGTTATTGTTTCTGGGTTAATGGACAAAGTACCAGGGGAAATATATGGACATGCATTAGTTAAACTACAGTGATTGGATGGGTCACAAACCTGCCCACTTTTAGATAAAAGTGAAGAAAAACAAAACATTAATATATGCATGCTTGCATGCTAGGACATGACTTTGAGTTCCTTACATTCTACTGACCCCTTGTGGAAAATTGTATATATTTCAGTAACACAGTTACGCACTATCGCTGATACTTTTTTGTTTGCACTAACAGTTATATTTGCAGGACAAGCTTTGTGGGGTGTTTTCTTCTTCTCAATCAAAGCAGTACAAAGGGTTAGCTAAATGTTCTTAATATAAGGTTCATGTCCGTTCTTTGTTCTGTGCGCACGCATTATAATGGTCTGTGATTGGAATGACAGCACCTTCCCCAAAACAGTTACAAATGTACAGGTAAAACTGAGATGCATAGGTGTGAATCCAGCATTGACCGTGGTTAATGCATTTCCATTGATTTCAATGAAAACACATTAGGCAAAAATACACGACAATGCAAAGTGAATATGTATTATGCACAGACAGTAATAATAACCTCTTACAGCCACCTATATTTTTGACACTACAAGTGTGAGTATCAATAACTTCTTCTTTTTTTTATATTATATAAACACAGGGCCTCATGAACATAATTTTGAAAATTGCATTTAGCTTTATTCAGAAAGTATATTTGTATACTAAGGGCACCATGTCCATATCAAGACAGTTTGTTCCTGGATCAAAAAAAGCATCCCAATGTATCCCTATGGTATTTATGGGCTCTGTTCACATCTGTGCAGTCCGTCCCTATCCAGACAAAAACAATATTGCTTGTCTCATTTTCTCTGGAATGCACTGGTACGCATGTAAACACATAAAAAATGCATGCAAATGCAGTGGACTGCACCTGAAAGCCCATTTTAAGCTAAGGGCTTGATAAAGCCTATTAGCTGCTGGAACGCTTTGGATCACATCCTGGCATCGGGCAGGGAGCCGGCCAGCATAGCCGGCGCTACCACACAGGCAGCACAAGCGGCCCTTTGAGGTCGCTGGTGGGGGAGGGTGGAAAAACACTGCCTCCCTCCCATACACAGGAGCAGCGGCATGGACGGGGCTCTGAGCTTCATTTTTTTATAGCCAGAACTCCGCCCCCCACCTCCCTCTGCTGTGTCCTCTATCCGGAGCCTGTTGCAAGCCTGCACTGTCCTAGCCGAGATATTTACATATGAATGGGCGGCGGTATTTGCATATCAGTACGCCACAACCCATTCATATGTAAATATCGCAACTAATTCATATGCAAATCAAATTGTTACATTGGCAATCAGTGTGAATACTTTTGTGACATTGGCGGTCATTTAAATAATTTTGTTACATTGGCGGTCATTGTGAATACTTTTATTACATTGGCGGTCAGTGTGAATATCTTTTGTTACACCAGCGGTCATTGTGGATACCTTTGTTACATTGGCGGTCATTGTGAATACTTTCGTTACATTGGCGTTCAGTGTGAATACTTTCTTTACATTGGCGGTCAGTGCGAATACCTTTGTTACATTGGCGGTCAGTGTGAATACCTTTGTTACATTGGCGGTCAGTGCGAATACCTTTGTTGCATTGGCGGCTATTGTGAATACTTTTGTTACATTGGCGGTCAGTGCAAATACCTTTGTTGCATTGGCGGTCAGTGTGAATACCTTTGTTACATTGGCGGTCAGTGCGAATACCTTTGTTGCATTGGCAGTCAGTGAGAATACTTTTGTTGCATTGGCGTTCATTGTGAATAATTTTGTTACATTGGCGGTCATTGTATATACTTCCATTACAAGGGTGGTCAGTGCTGTTAGTTATGCTATCTTTAGTGAAGATCTATAGGGGTGTCCTTGTATTGGGGTGCTGCATGGTAATAGACGTGGGGTGTCAATGCCTGTGGCTTTACATATTGAACTTCAGAAGATGATGGTCATTCTTTTCCCAAATTCTAGATACGTTTAGTGTGAGCTGTAACATGGACATCTCAGTTATGATTTCTGGATTGGTACACTTTGTGGTGTATTTGTATTGTGGTGCTCCACAGGAAACTATTTGGGATGTCATTGCTTGTGGCTTCGCATATACAGCACTAGTAGCTGATGGTCTTCCTTTTTTCTAAATGCTTCTGAGATAATTGGTTTGATCTGTAACATGGATATCACAGATCCCCTATTAGTTTTGGAGTGTTTCTTTACGGATGTCTTTGCAGGGCTAGTGCTACCATAAGAATGCCTGAGGGTGCGCGGGGGGGGATCCATCTTCGTCTGTGTAGGCAAAAATCCTTGCACTGGCCCTGCCGGCCAGGATGCGATCCAGCAGCTAATTGTGCTGAAATGCATTGGAAATGGTGTGAACAAGCCCTGAAAAAACACCTGTAAACTTTGCCTCATGTTAAATGTTCATTTGACAGTATCCTGTATATACGTACTGCTATATTCAAAGATCCAAGCTTAGTAACTCGTAAGGTACTGTAAGTCTATTTAAATCCAGACGATTATATCTTAATTTTATGCCTCAGAACAAAGAAATGTGCACGTATATTATTTCCTAAGATCTGAAAATATAACTAGAAATCCTTTAAAGACTGCCACAGTAGAAAGATAGCAGCATGTTAAGCCCGTGACTCCAATGAACTCCCCCAACCCCAATGATGATGTATAGTAGACTTTTTATTAAACTGCTTAAAGTGTAACTAAAGGCATTATAGAGATTTTAGCCATTATGTGTGCGTATGCATACACATAGGTTCAGGGTGAGCTTACAGAAAAAAAAATACTGACAGGTAGAAAGAAGCTTTTATGGCAGAAGAGACTTACACAGTCTCTTCTGCAATAGAAAGCCTATCAATGAGCAGGGTTTTTTTTTGAAACTTTACTTCCATTTTAATGTATGAAAAAAGTCCTACATATTGCATTTCTGGTGTGTACACTTGCATTTTGCAATGCAGATCACTTGAAATTAGGTCTTTTACAAACACTGCTGAAACTCATGTTGATGTAGTGCATGATAACACGTTCTTTATGGTAGAAATAAACCGTTAAGTGAGCAATCTTTGATGCTTTCAGTAAACCAGTAATCTTTCATTATTTAGTCATATAAATGTCTGCTTTTGACATAATATTATTAATTGTATTATATTATTTATTATTGTATTGTGTATTTTCATATTTTCCAGCAAACAAAAGCAACAAAGACATGATATTATTCAAAAATGCATCTTTTCTTCACATACTGGTGACACTCCGAGACCTTATACTGATGTGTACCTTAGATGCAGCACTAGGTATCTGAAATGTAATTTGACATTCTATATTTTAGCTAATTTATATTCAAAAAAAACTTTACCCAAACCTAAGTGATTATTTTTGGCAGAGGGAAATGAAGTAAGCACACTGGCAAAAGTATAATTACTTCCACAACTCAATCTGTATTTTTACCATGTTATGTACTCCCGCCCAGGTTTTTTTTACTTCCAGCTCACAGAATTGCCAGTTGAAGTCATGGGTTGTGACATTTTTAAGCAGGTAATTATAGACATTGAAGGAGGTATTAGGGTTACATTTTGTCATCAAGGCTTTCCTATACAGAATTACACAGCAAAGTTACAGAAAAAGCAATGATTTTGTGCAAAGTTTGCTATCCTATAGGGACAAATCATTTTTCAGTCTTCTAACCAGTAAAATATGAATTTTGCCTGGAGTGTGTGTGTCACTGCATTGCAAATTGCTGGCAATGCCCAATACGTGTGTTAGGTACAACAATGTTCCACATTTTGCAAATATACGGTTTATGCCCATGAGATTAAAGATTGACTTTAGGCATCAAGTAAAATCAATCAGTTCATTTTGAAATTAAAATGTTCACTTGGTTTACTTTCGTTATCTAAATGTTATATAATTGCAGTTGCATCCAAAATCAGTATACCTTCCACTGTATTTCTGAACAGGAGGCCAGCATTATCCTAGTTTCAGATTTCCTTTGTGCAGAGATTTTTTATGACTCATTTCAGAGGTAAACATGGGAACATAATTCATTTTGTGGAACGTGAAACAACACTGCTAGACAAAAACCCATCCACTTTAAACTGGGGCTGCGGAAATTAACGATTAATTCCTCGATTAATCGTTAATTTTTTTGATCAACTTCCGGGAGTTCCGTCGGAGATCCGGTGACGTCACGGACATCGACGTCACCGTACTCCTCCCCAATTCCCCAAGTGGCTCCGTCGGCTTCGTTTTTGCAGCGAAGCCTGCAGAGCGTATCAATGATCGTGGGTGCAACACATAGGCTCTTGCATTGTATTCCCCCATCCTCAGTTCTCTATGGAAGCTTGGAGGAAGTACTACGGCTTGAAGAAGGAAGAGGGATTCCCTGGCACGCTCTGCAGTTGTCTGTCTTCCACGGGACTTGTAGGAATTCCCTTAGAACAATCCCCGGCCCAAGTGGCTCCGTCGGCTAAAGAAGGGAAGGGGGGAGGAGTCCGGTGACGTCACGGACATCAACATTACCGGACTCCTCCCCCCTTCCCCAAGTGGCTCCGTCGGCTAACTAAGGGAAGGGGGAGCAGCACGGTGACATCGATGTCACCGGACATAAACCATCTTCCACTGGAATGAAATGTGTAGGTTGACTTCTGCCAAGACATGTGTAGGTTTAAGGGTTTGGTTTCCAATTTTTGGTTGGCTTTTAAACATTATACCAGGCAAGTCAAACTTAAATGAAACAGTGGGCCGAAATGAATGAAATAAATCTGTAAATGTGCCCTATTAGATGTGCTAAGGGCCACACCTAAATATTTCCAGAAAAAGGTTATGGAACTTTGGTAAATAACAGAATAGAAATAATTGTAACTTACAATATTTTTTATCTTAGAGAAAGGGGCCATAAAACATTCCATAAGTGTGCAGCTGCAAAATTCCCAAAAAAAAGTGTTGCCTTTATCAGGTATAGAACAACTGGGGCCTTGTTCAGTTGTAGACCATTGAGGACCACAAAGAAAAAGTAAGAGGGCCACATGTTCCCAAAAAAACACTAGTTTGAGGTGCCTGCTGAACGGACTCCAAAATAAGAACACATGGTCGAGATCAAAGTCAGTGCTAACTCAACAAATAGAGTCATTGTATGACCTTTTCATATCCAAGCTTGACTGTGGATTTCCCTCACTTTGGAGGGATTTACCCTTACTTCCTGTTCCCTCTTCCTTCCTTCCTGTGGCTATTGGAAAGGAATTAGGAATCCTGTTGTGGCTATGGGAAAGCACCAGTGAAAAGGTGGGTGGAGGTTACTAAGTTCAGAATCCAGTGGTATGTAGCTAGATTACAGTAAGAAAGGTAAGCTGGAGTAAGCATGTCAGAGAGGCTAGTCATAAAGACCCCAATAAATATGCCTGTTTTGAAAGATATCGGGGACTTAGATTATACAGTATCAATGCTGCAGCTGGATATATCCCATAGCAACCAAAGAAATGACTGCTGCAGTAAGAATGGAAATAGGGCAACAAAGGACAGACAGGTGTCGGTAGAGTGCCGATGTCCACATTCTTACTTATGCATAGAGAGGGCGGACATCCGTTAACTACTGTTGCACCCACCTAATCTTCATGAAACAGCGGTCAGGAGTGCGATGGGTATATGGACTGTAACCAGGTGTTGATGGTAGAACACTTTATTATAAGATGGACAAATCAGGTGATACGTCACCAAAGCTAGGAATGCCTAACACTGCATTGTTTCCCAGGGGCTCCTGTGTTCCATGTGTCCTTCCCTCCAACCCTATTATTTTTGTACCCTGGAGTAAAGCAGAAGCAGTTGGTTGTGGGTTGGTCAGCCTTATGTCCTACTTTAATTTCTCTCAGTGCAGGGAACTGGCAGAGGAGAAAAGGTAAGAACTCACAAATCCTTAACCATTCCTATGTGGTGCCAAGGTTCAAATGAGCACGTCTTAGTATGCATGCTTTGCAGATGGCACAGCAAAGAAATCACTGGTGTCACAGGCATTATGGACAAGCACAGTTTGCCAACATATTCATAATGTTCATAAATTTATGTTAGGGTTGCTTCCTTTTGAAAAGTTTTTTTATTTAAATGTAGCAGTATAAACAAGTAGTAACAGCTAACCCTTTTGGCATGTGTGGCATGCTATACCATAGGTCTGCATGCAAATATTTGGACCACTAGATGGCAGCATGCCTCCATTAAGTATACTTCCCTACACAAATGTGCTGGTACCTTCAGAAAGGGGAGCAACCACAAGAATGCCAAGCAGTTTATGCTGAGAAAGAAAAAGTAAAGTAAAACAAAAATGGCAGCCTAAAATATTGTGAGTGAAGCAGCATGAAATAGGAACAGATAATCAGTAGGAAATATTAAGTATTGAAAGTTTGTGGAGCTGAGATCTAAGGTAAAGTACAGGACATTTGCAGGTTAGGTTGACTGGAGATACCTAGTTATTGTTATAGATATTATTATTGCAATTTAGTACTAATCAAGCTAGCAATGCAGCCACAGAAAAAAGCATGTGCTGACTCTAATATATTTGGTTGGACCATTGAGGGTAGTCAGCTATGCTAGTCTTTGAACTATGTGGAACAGTCTAGGCTTCTTAGTTTCCAGGAGCCATCCTTCCAGATAATAATTATAAAACCCAATTATAAACAATGGTCTAATACACAGTCTAGGAATCTACTGCCAGATACCTGATGGTGAGGGCTTTAAGGAGAAACGAGTTGCCTGCATGGAAAACAGAATTTCTCCATGTGTATGGCGCCCTCATCAGCACAATATTTGCCATAAGGCACTTACTGGCCTTTGTTTTGCCAGTTTTGTGTCCTTGTGGGAAAATGCAGCAGGAAAAGGAATAGTATGGCATTGCTTTGGGAAGTTTTAAATAGAGGTGCACCGAAATAGAAATTTAAAAACCGAAACGAAACCGAAATACACTCAGTGATCACAAACACTCAGTGATCACTGATCGCTGAGTGTATGTAGCCTGCTCTAATCTCTGATACGCTGTCACAGGAGGCTGAGTGAGCGGTGCGAGAGCAGAGCCCAGCCTCCTGTGAATGTGCTGTCTCCGCCCCCACACCGCTCTGCCGCACTGTGATAGGCGGCCGAGCTGTGTGGGAAGAGAGACACTGGCCGCTCACAGTGCTCTTTTCCCACAGCGGTGTGAAGAGGTTCCCCTTTAATATGAGCAATGACACGTATCAGTCCTTGTTATATAGAGCACATTGAGGGTTAAATGTGATTCAGATCACCTTCCCTGGAGGCTAATATAATGGAAGTGCGGGAAGTGTATCACATATATTCACTCTGATAGTACATCTGGGTAGACAAGCAATTTCAGTTGGGAAGTACTTAACAGGAATTTAACTTGATAGTAGAACAGCAAAATGGGTACTTATATTGTAGGGAGTTTTTCACAGACAGTCAATTTATATATTGGATGATATAACTAGTACTTGCGGTTTAGAAGTGTTCCCCCGGACAATCACTCTGGTACTCAGATCTATCTCCAGGTTGCCTTGGTAAAGGTCCTTGGAAGAGAATGTTCTCTCTTGTTGTCAGTTGCAGCTTGTCCCCAAGAGGTTGTCAGGGATGCTGCCCCACAATGGTAGCTCTGGACAACAGTAAGGACAGTCCAGTAGGTCTGCAAGGAGCGTGTTCCTGGTATTAGGGAATATGCAGAGTTTGGTAAAGTTTCAATTGTCTGAGGGGGGTGTGATAGCAGGTTCAACGTTCGGGGTAGGAGCAGTATTGCCCGGCGTCTTCTCCCTTGCTTGAACGCCTGGCAATTGAATCCTGCGGCTTAATCCAACATAGGAGGGGGGGCCTGATGACGTCCGCGATGTTGCGGCGGAAGCCTGCGCCAATCCTGGAATGATGGACGAGTAAACCTGTTACAATCAGCCACTTGGGTGGCAATAGCGTTAGTTTATGTCCTCCCGTGACCCTAAAGAGAACTATGGAATAAAAAGGTTACCCCATAGTTCTCTTTTAACTGCATAAACATAACACTTTGATTTCTTCATACATGAGTTATCCTCTAAATCAGTTCAGCAAAAGTTTCTTCTCAAGTATTTACTTATTAAGGGGAACTCGTGGCGTGTCCAAGATGGCGACCGGAGCACACGTGTAGTAACTGTGCTCCGCCACCTATCCTACTATCCTGTTTTCCCAGGCCCCGTGGAGCGCTCGAGTGGACGGTGGATTGAACCCAGACCAAGCCCTGATCCCGGGGGTATGTCTCGGGGGCGCCGGAGGTCATCTACGAGCCGCCCTACTA